CAACACTTAATAACCATTGGTTAATTAATACCAGCATTATCATTTTAAAAATTCCACCCACTACATGGCCAGGAAACCTTTTGGTACATCTACACCAAAACTGCCAGCACTCCAAATGAGGCTGCAGATAAGTATGTAACTAACTTTACAAATACAACACATAGGAAAAAAAGACAATGGAAGTTTTATTAAGAACTGAATGTTTTTGTGAATTCAGCAGAGATTATCTTCTTAGAATAACAAATGATTTAGGCCTAGTTTTCAAAGCAATTTTTCTACCAGAGCTACCGAAGAGAGATATCCTAGATTGTCTTTGAACAGCAATCCCATTGCAATGGAGGACTGCTATCTTTAATCTGAGTACATACAGAGCAGGCTCCTAAATCACTGAAAAGTCACTGACCACAGAAATAAAGTTAAAATCTTAACAGTTCTGTTTTATATTGAAAAGAAAGATGATCCTTTGATGCATAACACACAACTCCAGAGACAGGAAACCAGATGCTGTTACAATCTGCAAGGACAGAGTTACAGTACATCTATTTTGATGGTATATGTTGCATAGCCCTGGCAAAAATGAATGTAGGCCATAATGTAATGTGAAGTCAATCAGAAAAATTCTGGTCTACCCAGTTCACCAGCAGTTCTCAGTTGCCTCTGAAGGACTTTTTAAACATGGACTTCTAGTGTAGATTCCTTTTATTTTTTAACAGGCAGCATTTGCAATGAAAGGTCATGGCTCAAACCCCCAATGTGTTTCAGATAAGTAGAAAAGTCATCAAAATGTAATGTGGCAATTGTAACACTTCTGTCAGGCTTTCCTGGGGTCACTAAGAAGCACCAAAAAGCAATTTTATTGCACCTTTAGACTATGTTCTAGAAAAGACAGAGTGAAACAATTATATAATACAAAATAAAGCATATCATATAGCAAGGAGTCTGGGGATTAGCAATATGATTTCCCCTAAGACAGCTATCCCTCTTCTTTCTGTATGGCCAAAGGATATGTCCTGAAGGACCAGATGTGAAATGAAAAGCAAAGATTGGATGACTCTGGACCTGCTTTTAATAAAAATGATGTTTTCCAAAGCTCTGTGAATACTGCTTTTTTTCAACTGTTATCTTGTCAAATATATCCTATAAAATCATCACTTCCAGTATGTTCATAGCATCATTTCTCTTAAGTAAAAAAAAAACCCTTATCTTAGGAAAAAACAACATTAATTTACAACATTTTTATTTGCATATTTAGGCCTAGTATGCCCACACTAGCAGGTTAACTATCTTCTAGAACAAAATGGAACCAGCTTTCCTTACAGCTTACACCTAGCTTACACTGAATTGAATCTTCTGAATTAAATGAGACAAGGTACAGTGGTGCAGTGGTTAGCATTGGTGCCTTGCAACGCTAGGGCCTAGAACTGGAGTGCTAGCAGCACGGAGTTTGTATGTTTGTGTGGGGTTTTACTTGGTGCTCCATTTTCATATTATACTCCAAAGACATTAGTGTGGTTAATTGGCTTCTGGGAAAATTGTCCCTGGTGTGAGTGTGGGCATGTCTGTGTCTGTCGTGTGTGATCTTCGATGTATTCTCATCTCATCCAGGGGATATCCCGCCTTGTTTCTGTTGCTTGCTGGATGAAGCAGTTAGAATATGGATGGATGGTTATTTTATTAAGGTCACATTTTACACAATATTATGATCATATTCAACTATGCATTGTTTCAAAATCAATATCAAATTGAGACATTCTGGCAATAACATAAAAAGTACTCATAATACAGCAAGTGCATAACTGAATCTGGATAATTTCTTCTTTAGTCACTCTCTTTGTCTTACTTAAATGCTGCTTGAAACAAGATCACAGTGAAATGTACTTTAAAAGCCTCACAATTTTATATTTATACACAATTATTGTAATTAATGAAAGGTACTAGATCATAAGAAGCTTATTATTGCACTATAAATGTTATTTTAAATGACTTGTCTATTTTCTAAACACATAACTTAAACTGCTTTGTGTTAGCTACAATATGCAGTACATCATCTAAGGTCTTCTCTTTAACCTGCTTTGCAATCAAAGGAAACTGGGGCACCTTGAGGTCAGCCCCTCAGCCACTGGAAGAAGGGGCCTTAATGGAGTGTGAAGGGAGAAACGCCTGAACTTCAAATCCCATGAGACTTGAATTGTTAACACAGGAAAACGCAGGCTGACAGTCTTGTAATTTGACATCATTACTAACCTATAAAGTCATACAAAATGTAACAGATGAACTCAAAATATCAGCTGCAGCCATTAAACACCATAAATATCCTCCTCTACATAAATGCCAAGAAAAACTGAAATGAAAATTAATTAACAGTTCAGCAGCGTCTGTGACATGAAATTATATTAGTTCATCATGATAACAGCTATGACACATTGTGTAAAAATCTGCCATACCAACAGCATACAGCAATAGCTATCTAAAATCTGCCCCCAAAATAAAGTAAGATCAACTGATTTACATGCCATGAAAGAATATCAATCCCTCTATCAGTAGGCAACTTATCCTAGAGAGAATTGTGGTGAGATGAAGCCTGTTTTACAACCACGGAGCACAATGTGGGATATTGAGCATATGATTGAAGGGTGGGACACTAGTTCATCACAGGGACATGGAGTGAAGAACGATTTAGAACAGCTATTGTATTTAAACCAAGCAAGCATGCCTTTGGAAGGTGTGGGGAAACTGGAGCAGGCAATCAAAACCCACTATAAAATTAGGTAGAAGAAGTAAACTCCACAAAGACAGATGCCCAAGGTTGTAACTTAATGCTGTACCTCAGAGCTGTGATAAAGCAATGTTAAATACCATACTGCCCCAAAGTAGACTAAAAGCTTTTTTTTATTTCATCTACACCAGATTTGAAAAACTCAGGTCCTCAAGGGTTGAAACACAGAGGTTTTCTGACTCTCAAAGGGTAAAGAGAAAACTGTTAAAATAGTCCAGATCAGTAAGATAAGACTTAATTGATCCCAAAGGGAAATTGATGCTACAGCAGCCCAGCCCAAGACAAGCAAAAACAGAAATCAGAATAGACAAAAAATTAAAATACATACAGTAATACAAATACATATAAAATAAATACATAGGTGTGTGCAAAATATGCTCATAGTCTCTGTAAAAACAATAAAATATGTGCAAAATGTGCACAGGTATATACAGATTGGGTGTCCAAAAAAAGTACAATGGTGCAACATGCTGTCCATAGACGAGCAAATGAAGGGCTAACAGTCCTAGCCTAGGGCAGCGTTATACACCCTGACAGCCGCAGGGAGGAAAGACCTCCGGAAACGTTCCCTTGAACACCGTAGCTGGAGCAGTCTGTTGCTAAAAGTGCTCCGCTGCCCAGTAACAGTCCCATGAAGCGGCTTGTTCATGATGGCTGTGAGCTTGGTCAGCATTCTCCTCTCAGCCACCACCTCCAGGGGGTCAAGGCTCAGCCCCAACACAGAGCCAGCTTTCTTGATAAGTTTATTGAGCCTATTTGCATCTCTTGTCATGATGCTGCTCCCCCAGCACACAACACCTTAGAAGATGGCCGCTGCCACCACTGATTCATAAAAAAATGTGTAGCAGTGTTCCACACACACCAAAGGAAATAATGAGTTTAATTCAGAAACTGAGTCCTTTGGTGAAATAAATCCAATCAGACCTAGAGACAGTAGTGTAAAACATGTTAAGTTAAATTTCCATTTGGTGTTCCCCTGAAGCGTTTCTTAATATAAATGATGTTGCATGAAACAGAGAAGCTCCTTAAAACGCCTGTGCTTAGTACTCAAGTTAAAGGAAAAAAAACATTCATATTTAAAGCATTATCTACAGAATTCAATACTTACAGTAAGTTGTTTTATGCAACTAGATCTGCAGTCCTACCTCACCAGTGTACATAAAATTCCAAAACAACCAAACCATGGTTAACGAAATTAAAAATAAGTGTTGAGTCCAGAAACAGACACCTCAGCTTGGTGTTCAAAGCAATAAATCTCTTTATATTTTTCAAGCAAATGGCAGTCCAGCACTGAAATCTGGAACTTTATGAAATGTTTCCATTCTGGAAGCAACAGTTCCAGTTCCATAGATCCTGTGGCATTTGTTTTTTTTTGGTTTTGTCCACTTTGATTATATTGAAGAATGAAAATTCAAAAACCAACAAAACACAAGGGTGTCATCTGCAATCACCTCACAGATTTATCATTTAGAGTGAGCCCAGCCATATGGTCTTCACTTATGTTAATGAAATCGCATGATCTTATTAGAAGCACCCAAATCACATATTGTTCTGTAGTACATACTGAATGTTCTGCCCAGCATGTTGTTCCTTTTTCAATTCTCAACTTAAAACAAAATCAGATTGAAAAAAAATGACTTTACATGAGCTTCATTAGGCACATGTTAATAAAGAAACACAGCTTATGATTGTTAATGTTCATGGATTTGGAAACTACATAAATGTTAAATGACAATTTGTTTGTTTGGGTTCATAACAACATGCAAGCTGCATTTGTATCCACTTCCTTTCCTGTAGTATCAGGGCACCACAAAAGGAGGATACAGCTTTGTAAGGTAATCCAAATAAAAAGGAACTTACACTTGTTTTTCATTTTTCTTTTGCTTCTATTTCCATTTTAATTAAAAATCTTGAGAATCAGACCTTGGAGTGTAACATATTAATTAAGCAAGTTAATCCCCAAGGGCTTGGCTGATGAAATTGTTTGGTTTTGTCCCACAAACCTCATTAAATCTTCTCACTTGGAGCCTGCTCACACTTTCTATTTATTGTAACAGACAGATAAAGATGTACAGTTAAGTACCTGATTATTGTTATTGTCTCAATTTTCAATTTTATTCTTTCTTTCCTTACCTGTGGCAATGAAAAAAAATATTGCATTGAAATCCCCACAGAGATCATCAGGAACATCAAGAGGAAAATGAGGAAAATATATATTTTTTACCTTTCTAAAGTGTTCTTTTTTGCTGTTTATTTCCATGGTTGGATAATAAGTAGCACTAAACTGAAGAATGCAAGTCTGTCCTCAGAGCAAGGATGGTATAGTGTATAGCTTGCAAATTGAAGTTCTAGCAATAGTTCTTCCACACAATCCCAGGAGTAACAAAACTAAGGGCTTAAAATGGTTCTCTGCCTTGGCTGATAATCCTTTTCTGGTCTCTAGTCTGAAGATGGCCTCCAGTATATCAGAGTGCTTTGTGATTTACTGTAGATGTCTGATGATGTGATTTAGATCAATATCCACTGTAACACCGTGGGAGTGAGAGGAGCTGCGGCGAGCACTGGTAAAAAGTCAACGCCCCTACTGAGGAACCGAAGCAGCAGTGCGAGGTTAGCAAGAACCGAAAATATCACAATAAAGGTGAAAAACAAGAACAAAAAGCAAAAAGAAATGTACAGTATGCCACTGTGCATCATGACATCCAGGCTGGGCTTAAAGGGGTCCAGCCTGGGAAAAAGAATCACTTAGCACAGTGGTGACCAGACTGGACTTACCCTATTTAACGGGATCCAGTCTGGAAGAGCAGGGAGCGCAAGGCCAAAACAAAACAAAAACGTGACGTGTGAAAAAGGTCAGCCTGCCCAAGTAGAGATACATGACGGGACAGGCAAAAAAATTAATAAAAAGAAGAAAAACGATAGCTTTATGCTCGGGTACAATCCCCTCTGGGACTGCTGGTAAAAATTCCTCCCCTTCCGGGGGTTGCCTTGCTCATTGCTTGGCGGGTGATCAGTGTGCTTTTAAAGAGCCTTTCCAGCTGTGGCTCATCCTCAAGCAGCCCAAAACAGCTGTTACTACTAAGCCAATGCATCACCCTTCATCCAGGGATCTGCCTCCACACTGAACACGCCCCCGTGTAAAGCCACACCACCCAAACCCAGAAAGAGGCAGTTTAACTCTTTGTTAACAGGCACGGCGATGGAGGTTAGAAAAGTGGGGAGTGCTTCAGAATTACCCTGAGATATACAGTATTGTCTTTCCGCTGGTTAAACATACACCTAAGAAGGACCTGCGTGTTCCAGGGAATACAATGACCAGTGGTTGGTGTACTTTTCATCCTTCAGAATATTATCTAATTTATATATACTTTTATACAGTGCCTTGCGAAAGTATTCGGCCCCCTTGAACTTTTCAACCTTTTGCCACATTTCAGGCTTCAAACATAAAGATATAATTTTTTTATTTTATGTGAAGAATCACCAACAAGTGGGACACAATTGTGAAGTGGAACGAAATCTATTGGATTTTTGAAACTTTTTTAACTA